CTCAGCCATGTACCACATGGCCACTCGTTAACTATGTGTTACTTGACTGCCTGGTTGTTCTAATGGTCGTAACTGTTGATCATGTGGTCCTCAGATAATTCTAGGTAGCAGCCCGGAGTTATAAGGTCGGCGCATTTTAGGCGACGGTGATGGTTGGGTCGTAAATTCTTCGGTCCAGCGCCTGGTTTTTCTCTCGTCGTGTCAGTTTGCCGTGCCATCAGACTTAAAATAAAAATCAAGGCTTCGAAAGGTAGTGGGATCATCACGTTTGATTAAAAAAAAAAAGAACAAGGTGCAGTGTTTGGAGGTGCTTGTAACCCAAAACTATTTACGGACAGTTCTCAGAGCAAGGACTGCGTTCTGTGGTTAAAGCTGAACAAATAAGCATGCAAACTGCGAATGGGCTTTGTTTTCCTGCTTTGTACACTTATTCGCTTTTATGTATTTTTCTCAAATACCATCATCATCATCATCATCACAGCCCTTCACAAGTCCACTGCTGAACATAGGCCTCCCCCAAAGAATGCCACAAAACACGGTCCTGAGCCACCTGCATCCATCGACTTCCTGCATGTCTTACCAGGTCGTCACTCCATCTCGTGGGGGGACGCCCTACACTTCGCCTACCGGTACGAGGCTGCCACTCGAGAACCTTTCTTCCCCATCGGTTGTCGGTTCTTCGAGCTATATGGCCGGCCCACTGCCACTTCAGCTTACTAATCCGTTGGGCTATGTCGGTCACTCTGGTTCTACTGCGGATATCCTCATTCCTAAGTTTATCACGCAGAGAAACTCCGAGCATAGCCCTCTCCATAGCTCGCTGAGCGACCTTGAGCTTCCTCATACGGCCAGCAGTGAAGGACCACGTCTCAGTTCCGTAAGTCATCACTGGCAACACGCACTGGTTGTACAATTTCGTTTTAAGGTTTTGAGGTATGTCTGACGAGAAGATGTGTCGTAGCTTCCCGAACGCTGCCCAGCCGAGTTGAATCCGTCGATTGACCTCTCGGTCGAAGTTGGACTTACCCAGTCGGACTATTTGTCCCAGGTAAACATACTCGTCAACAACTTCGAGCTTAGTGTTCCCAACAACTATCGGCATAGGTGTGACATGGACATTAAACATGATCTTAGTTTTGTCCATGTTCATCTTAAGACCTATCCGTTGGGAAACACTATTGAGGTCATTGAGCATAGTGCTTAGGTCCTCCAGCGATTCTGCCATAAGGACTATATCGTCGGCAAATCGAAGGTGAGTGATGTTTCTCAAATAATCAATACAATATGTATTAATTATCTTCCCCAGCTGGTATAATTCCACTGCTGGACATGGGCCTCTCCCATTGTTGTGACGATTAATCGTCACTCTTTGAATGCAATATTGAGGATCACAGTACTAGACATCCCGCGATCTGGGTATTTGTATATCTTTTTTTATAGGATCGGGTGACAAACGAGCGCACAGTTCACCTGATGGTAAGTAAGTGTTTGCTGTGACCCATAGACATCTACATTTATCCTCGTTTGTGAATCAAAATGCAGATGCGTTGTCACCCGTAAGGACTAAGATGGAATGCCTCTTTTCCAGTAAAAAGGGTCTCCGGTTCCTACACTCACCATACGAAACACAGCAGCAGCCTTCCCCGGTCGAGCCGACCCATTCTTGCTACAACTATACTATTAATATAGCTGCAGCATGGCTCTACCACGTATAAAAACGTAAACAGGATGGCCACAAATGACATGGTAGTTGACGTAGTTGGAAGCCATATTTTTTTCTTAGATTTCCCATTATCGCCTCTTAAGACACTCATAGGACGATATTGGGTGACGGATTGATGGAATAAACTTAAAATGATTTATTTATTTTCTATTGTGTATAGTGACTTTGTAAATGAAAGTCAACAGTTTTATACATTGTCATTTATTGAAGTGAAAGACGCTTATTATAATATAATTTGTAATAATAATAATGACGTTAGGATTGCACGTTTCTTTGGATTGTTCCTTACAACAAAGTTTATTCTATACACTATTTACAATGAGTAACATTTTCACTAAAATATTTAAAAATCTCGAGGTGATAAATGCTTATAATAGATCAAATTTTATACATACTTACAAGTAATAGACAATTTAAAACAATATAATTATTTAACTTCAAACAATGGTGGATCAACTAAACAAAATTGATCTTCTACGAGTGATAGATATTTCTAAATGATTTGGTGTATATACTAAAAATGTAGGTGGTGCATCTATATGTTACTTACATTGTATACATCATATTTTTTTAGATTAAACGTTATTTTGATTTTATGGCACATAACATTTATAACGATAAGTGAAAGAGGATTGTATTATTGTAAGCGGTACAACGTTTTTGAAATCCCATAACTGACTGGGTGTTACGGCATTCTAAAAATACTACTAGATATAGATACCTGTGAGATATATTTTTACATCTTCATTTTTAGAAAGTAACTTCATTCTTTGGCATTGTGGGTTTCACATAGAAAACTAATTAACGTGGTATTAAGACAAAGTAAACCGCATCTACACCTAAACTATGCGAATCTGAGGTATTTGTCAGATTTTTTTAAATGGTGAACGGATATTCTACATTTTGCTCTACTCTGATCCTAGTATAATACACAAAAATTTGTATAAAAGTGTGCTTATGTGACGCGTGCAAGAAATAAATACTTAATTGTTTTTGTGCTTTTGAAAAATCCTTATTTTAAACGGATAAAATTGGCGGGAAATGGTATTTGTTAAAATTATAACTGTAAAGAAAAAACTACGGAAATTCCCGAAGAAATATGTTCTTATTTGAAACATTCGTTATTTAACACTGATATTTATTAATTAATTTGTACATTATTTTTAAATGTATTTATGGAATGACGATAGATAATCGAATTGATCATATTTTTATAACAGTATTTAAAAATTAACTAATGGAGTGCAGTTATTTGGAATGACTTCATCAGTCTATTGATATAAAATTATTTTCTATCCTACAATTTAAAATATTGTACAAGTCCAGTGTTCGCTTTATAAAAATATCTGTTTTATTTTTAAAGTTATATTTTTTATTACGTGCCTACATGTAGATCAAATTAAATTATTTCAAATATAAAATAGATGCGCGCAAACACATTAAATGTGTTTGATATTGCAAACACCGGACATGTAACCAAACCTAAAAGTGTAAACGAAACAGCCTGTACTTTCACTATGAGATCAAATATTTAAAAAAAAAATAAGCCTTTACATTACCTTTTAGCTAATAATAAACTTCTTTGCAATGGTAACGTACCTCTTAGGTTTACCTATTATAGAATAGTCAAGTAGTCAAAAGTTTTTCAAAAGTCACGTAAACTTTTTATTATCTAAGTTAAAGTATGAACAATGCAGTAATCGCTGCCGTTGCCGCCGTTGCCTCTAAATCCATATCTGTCACGACACCCGCAGCGGGCTTTTGTAAAAAGTCCTGTACTGTCGCGAGGACCGTAGCGGGCCATTTCTTTTTAGTTCTATTTATCCCGCTCTTATTTTACATAACGGCTTCTTTATAGACATAAAAGGGAAAAAGAGTAAAAAATCTACTGTAATCCTATTTGTAATAAAATTGCTTTTATATTCTCCTTACATTACCGAGTATGCAATTAACAAAAAAAGAAAAAAAAATAGAAATATAAAGTACTCTACCTCCAAATACTTTTTGCAAGCGTTATATGTGATACACGATTAAGGTGTGAGAGCCTCCCTGTCTGCGTATATATTTCTTATCTCTGGCAGAGTTGATAAGATCCCATTATTTGGAAGTTATCACCGTAGACAGCAATCAGGTAGCAGGTCAGCAGTAGATCATGTTATGTTATTTATTAATATAATACAAAGTTGTACAAAATATTTTCAAAACGCAACACTATGGCTGTGGCGGCGGTGATGCGGTGCGATAGCGACAACACATGTATATGTGCATAAAACAGCGCATCTGTCTTTACAAATATGACCTACAATTGTTACAACTAATTAATGTTTTAACGAAACTAAATGTTTGTTCACGTGTTCTCTTACAACAATTGATTTGTTAAAAATATTTCTAATACATTCTGCTAATTCATATCATTTTCTTCTCGATTAGTCCGTGAACGTCCACTTGGATTTGGTCTTTCCTGTTGTGGGGAGGATTTGCGTTTACAGTGTGCTTGGCAAAAGGATTAGCGACCACAGTACCTACTAGCCCACCTAGCTATTTTACGTTTCGCGTAAACGAGAACGAGAATACCTTCATTTATCGGAAACCAGGCGATCTTTTTGGAATTTCGAATAGTTGCTTCTTACGAAGCTCACATAACAAAATGGGGTGATTGATTCTTTACGCCGCCATTACACGGTAAAATTATCAAAAACATCACTAATTAAAAATATCTATCATATATTTCGAATATCATATTTATCGAAACCCAGAAGGAGATATTCTTGCAAAAGCATTATTGTGGATCATCACGTTTGGATGTTTTGTGATTACATTCGCGTCTTCAACTCTGTGACTGTGACATATTACAGACATTCTATTGGAGGTGATCACAAAGAATAGCAGGTGAGGACGAAGAAGTGCCTCAGTATATGCACGTAAAATGCTTCCCTTAGCATTGTTCTGCGTTCATAGTAACGATACGGTTCGGAAGTTGGCCAAAAACAGTAAATCGCAACAGCTAAACCAGATTAAGTGACAGCAAAAACAAAAATATATATTGTTTTGGAAATTGCCATAAGAGAAGCGTTTATATTTAAGTTTGAGATATTGCATCACAAAAGTATCTAACAGATGCAACTACTTAGTAATCACATTTATACGCCGAAAAATATCTTTGGTACAAAGCTTTTGGTATAATACACGAGTGTCCATTCAAAATTGAACTCTTTTATAATGTTGTTTGGTTGTGATTGCCTCAACGCCAGTCGGGCGGCGCAAAGGCTGTCGAAGTTCAGGAAGGGAGCGCTTGCGACGGTGGTACTGCGGTGCTCATGTGGCTCCTGAAGTCCGGGTGCTGAGGGCGCAGATCAGGGTGCGGGGGACGAAGATCTGAGGACAAAATCATAACTGCTTCACATACTTGATGACTAATCTCTGTTATAACCCTAAGTCTAAGTAGTAAGTAATCTAACTTCATTACAAATAAAATATAAATAAAGTACTTTCTACAATTTACTACAAATAAATCTTAGAAATTTTTTGATAAATTATCTTCAGATAAAGAAAAGTCAATTATTATAAATATTGGAACTTGTTTGACGAACACCAATGAAAGTAAAGTAAATTATGAGCCTCTTTATACAACGCGAAATAGGGGCACAGGCCTCCTTTCACTAATCTGGCTATAATAATATACCTTCTTTTCTACCGACTTCAAAAAGTAGACGGTACTAAATCGACTTTTTTTTTAATGTGTGTTACCTCATAGCTTTTTATTGGGTGAACCGATTTCGATGATTCTTTTTTTATTTCAAAGCTGGTGCTTCACACGTGGTCCAATTTGATTAAGGCCTGACCAATAGTTTAGTTTTTGAGTTATTCTTAATAATTTATATTGAAGTCGGTTGTACAAAATTTTTTATTTTTAATTATTGCTAACAGTCTGTACTACTGTACTGTACTGTAATTGCTGAAAACTTCTCCCATTATCTCAGACTTAACGCACTTTTAACTTTGACAATCTGAGTGTTTTCCTACAACTACTACTGCAGTCCATCACAAGTTCACTGCTGAACATAGGCCTTCACCATAGATTTCCACAGTTACGGTCCTGAGCCACCTGCATCCATCGACTGCGTGCGTGTTTCATCAGGTCGTCGCTCCATCTATTATTTTGCAATTGACGTAAATAATATGAGAATAAGTGATACTGCTATTTATTGCTTCTCTGACGTTTTCCCTTAGTCGTCTCTTCGAGAAGAGAACATATGGACTGATGATTCTCTAACGTTGCCACCTAAATATTTCCCAACTGTTAATTCTAATTGTGATTGGAAATTGTCTCCGTGATCATAATAATTTAGAAATAAATTACCCTCTTCAACATGCTTAATTTATACCTACTGACTTATCCAAATGATGCTTACCTATTCGGTGATCAACAGCGTGCATATCCTGCGGATGCATGGTGTGGACATCTGTATGCGGAGGCAAGTGCGTCTGTGGGGTCCTTAAGTCAGCGTGTTGGGTTTCCCTGTGCCTCCGTAGATCCACCTTTCTCTGGAACGCCCGGCCGCAGAGCTCACACGCAAAGGGCTTGAATCCGGTGTGCTTCCGAGAGTGTGTTATCAGATTTGAACTCTGGCTGAACGCTTTGCCACATACTTGACATTTATGTGGCTTCTCTCCTGTGGACAAAAATATTTATAAATACTTATGTATCTAATATATAAAAAAAAATATTTTTTGTTTGTTTGTATTTTATGCGCTGCTATAATATTTATCAGATTGCACTAAAACTTTGTTAACTTATTGCTTGCAATTGAGAGAAGGTTATAAGCGTAGTACAATTAACTTACAATAGATGGCGCGCGTATCATACCAACAAATTTATTTGAAAGCATATAGATCACTTAACTTCAATGAATGTATTACATTCCTAATTAAATAATATAACTCCTCCAAAGAAGAAAATTTATTTTTGTATGGAGAATGGGTCCACCACAAATTGTAGCGTAAGTTAATGAAATACATATCGATTTATGTCTTATAATTTATATATTACAATAGTAATATTAGTTTTATCGTATCTAACGGGAATACTGAGAAATTAACAATTAAAATATGAATATCACATTAACCTAAGAACAAACTAAAAGCGATTGTCTAGTAACCTAAAAGCACACTAAGTGCGATTGTCTAGTAGTTTTCACCAGTATCATAAGTTAAAATAGTACACTAGTCAATAATTAATAGTACAAAACAAAGTTGTAGGTATATTCAGCATTTGCAGGCACTTTAAGATTGATGGAAAATCCTTTTAGTAGTTCGTTCTTTGTTATACACTTTTTTTTCATATTACATTAGCCGGAACACGAATATCAAAACAACACTTTTTTAATTTCATGATTCCGGTTAGATACTCATTAAATCTTTAGGCCGTTTACCGTTACCGTTATCGTATAAATTGGTATCTTGTTTTATGTATAGTAAAATTAAGTTACGTTTAAATTTCTAGTGGGCTCAAAAACAATTGTCGTCCTTAAAACGATATTTCGACTTTTTTTGTGGCAGCAACGCGCCGGGTACCAGCTAGTAGCTAATATTATAAAAATATATTTTCGAAGGTATCTGGGTAAATTCAACTTTCTACTTTTATCATTAAGCAATATAATATAACTTTTATTATTATGTGATAGTTACTATAATAAATGATTATGATATGCTTCAACTTAGTCCTTAAGAATAGGTTACAAATTGATTATAAATATGCTGCTGTGTATACGATTGAAAGTGGACTTAAAGAAGTTGTTTGTGCTAGGGGTGTACGTACCCAGATATATCTAAGCCCATTTATATACGAGAGCAGTTTTGGGACATGGTAAGGCTGATGTTGATGAAATGTAAGGGAAATGAAAATATTATTATGTTAGGAGATCTTAATGGAAGGATTGGGGTGAAGAGTTCTGGTTATGAAAGGATATTAGGAACGTTTTTTACGTGGTAGAGCCATGCTGCAGCTATATTAGTAGTTTAGTTGTAGCACGATTGGGTCGGCTCGGCCGGGGAAGGACCACGCTCTCACAGAATACCAGCGTACAATAGCAGCTTAACACTGCTGTGTTTCGTATGGTGAATGTAGAGAACCGGAGACCCATTTTACTGGAAAAGAGGCATTCCATCTTAGTCCTCACTGCTGACAACGCAACTTCACTATGATTCATTATTGAGGATAGATGTGGATGTCTATGGGTCCACTTATCATCAGGTGGACTGTGTGCTTGTTTGTCATCCAATACTATAAAAAAATGAACGCCCATCATCAGGTGGTCTATGAATTTATTTGTAATTTTATTGCTATAATGGTTTGAAAATAAGTATAGTCATCTAATCATATAATCATATTACACAAACCATATTTTCACAGCTGTTCTTTCCGTCAGAAAATAGAAATTACATACACAATTGTTGAGGTAACAGGAAAGTAAAGCATACTTTTTAATATGTATCAAATTTTGTTATTTTACAAAAAAGAAAATATGTTTCTGCATTTTGAAGTCCGTATTTTAAGGCTAAGCTTTCATATTAGGTTTATAACTCCATACCTACGTACCTAACGTTTCCGTTCCGTATGCGAAAAAATTCAAAAGACAAACCGTGCAGTGGCGGTGTAAGAATATTCACTACCCCCATTATCGTCCCGTGCGTGTCGTAAGACACTACCGAAGGAAACTAAAACAGGAGGTGGGCAGCAACATCTTCCTGATAACAAATCGTATTAGAACCAAACGGTTTGCTGCGTCTTTTGTTGCGTACAGCAAAGGAGTGGAATAATTTGCCGGCATTTATCTTTCCGTCCGAATACAATCTGGGCGTCTTCAAGGCAAAAGTGAAATAGGCTTTTGTTACACTAAGACAGTGCGATTTACCATCTAAGGCTGCATCACCACTTACCACCAGGTGGGATTATGGTCAAGCACTGGCTTATAATAAGTAAAAACAAAACTGCGGTAGATACTGGCGGCATCTATGGCAAAATGCCCCTAAGAATCGACATATGGGGAAGGTTATTTAGCAAGGTTATTTAACAGTAAATTTTTATAAGCTGTAATGGACGGATAGATGAATGCAAAACAAATAGAGTTCGACACTTGTCGATAATACTGAAACTTTTGTTTTTTTTTATAGGATCGGGTGACAAACGAGCACACAGTCCACCTGATGGTAAGTGGTTACTGTGACCCATAGACATCTACATCTATCCTCAATAAAGACTCAAGATGCAGATGCGTTGCCACCCGTGAGGACTAAGATGGAATGCCTCTTTGCCAGTAAAAAGGGTCTCCGGTTCTCTACACTCACCATACGAAACACAGCAGCGTTAAGCTGCTATTTTACGCTGGTTTTCTGTGAGAGCGTGGTCCTTCCCCGGTCGAGCCGACCCATTCGTGCTACAACCATAATATAGCTGCAGCATGGCTCTACCACGTAGAAGAAAAAAAAACTATTAAATTTCAATTTTATGTACTGATTTTACCACGTAGGTAACTCAGCACTTATTTAAATACTCGGTGGTTAAGGAAAACATGAGAAATCTTGCATGTCTGAAGACTGAATTACGAGTTCATTGAAGTTTTAAAATAAGTTAAACTTTCACCACGCATTGGGGCAGCGCGGTTTATTCTCGTACCTACCCTACAATTCTAAGAACTGAAGACACAGAAGGTCCATGTCCAGTAAGACGTAAAAAATAGGCTTTAATTTATATTAAACCTTTATTTTCATTGAGTTATATGTACTACGTACTAGAGAAGCCATTCCAAACAAAAATTGTGTCCTACTCTATGTCTACGCGACTACTACTCCCGCGCATGCGCGAAGACTTTAATTTAATATAAAATAAGATATTAATATAAAATAAATATAAGAATTTAATATAAAATATCCTAAGTTAATCTAAACAAACATATTTCTAAATAAAATGTAATAATAATTATTTTATGGAATTCACAAATCTTCAATTTACGCAATATTTAGCTTGTATGGATTGCACTACAGTTCAGTTGAACATAGTCAATGTTCGGAATGGCTTCTCTAGTACGTAGTACATATAACTCAATGTTTATTTTAAAGAAAATTTTATTCACAAGAGGCTTGAATTACGTTAGTAGACTACACGCGGCTTAGTGCGGCAGGTAGAGGTCCGAGTAATCCGTGCCAAAGTCCTACGTGTATCGATCCACGCTGACGCGACGACGACGTGACGACTTCGTAAACTGACAGGGTTGTCAGTAACACGATTTATTGTTTTAGCCGTCCCTTTAAAGATTTATTTTTCATATTTATCATAAAGTCTTTTCTTATTCCAATATAATATAATATGCTGACAATATATTTCTTCTCCATAGGTTAGTGCTGGCATCAGAGGCGGATGAACTGAAGAATATGATTGCCTAGAAAACTTTTGATTAGTAATGAACTCAGTTTTATATAAAATGGAGGGTCATTTATAGGGATAAAAACTATCCTATCTCTCAAGTTGGACCAAACTGCAAAATTTCATTGCAATTAGTTCAGTAGTTTAGGAATCCATCGCGGACAAACAACGTGACATGTAATTTTTATATACCTATAAAGATTATAACCCGTATGTTTTTTTACAAGACAGGGTGACGAACCACTTATCATCAGGTGGACTGTATGTCCACCTGATGGTAAGTGGTTGCTGTGATCCATAGATATCTACATTTATCCACAATAAAGAATCAAAATGCAGATGCGTCGTCACACGTGAGTACTAAGATGGAACGCCTCTTTTCCAGTAAAATGGGTCTCCGGTTCTCTACACTCACCATACGAAACATAGCAGCATTGAGCTGCTATTTTACGAACGTATTCTGTGAGAGCGTGGTTCATCCCCGGTCGAGCCGACCCATTCGTGCTACAACTATACTACTAATATAGCTGCAGCAAGGCTCTACCACGTAGAAACATCACTAAACTCAGTATACTGATCCTTGCGTCTATGTTTGTACATGTGCTAACTAAACTACGAAAATGTATAGTCAAATACAGTTAGGTATATGAAAAAATAAAACAAGTTACAAACGTAATGGTAGTGGGTGAGAAACGTCAATAATATCTGTTATGCTAGAGTCCTAGACCGAAGTCCAGGTGAGCGACAAGAACGATAGCCCAGTGATCGGTTTGCAATAGTATCTATTTATTCACTTGGAAATATCTTACTAAAGTAAATGTAATTTAACCACTAACCGTTCAAATAATATTTATGTGCTAATAGTGTTGTTTCAGACCCACAGAATTACTTTACTATATAAATTACCTACCTAGGTATAGTAATTTTACGAATCAGTTAAATAAAGTTGAGTGACTGCGAAATGCACTTTGACTTCAATTATTTTATTAATTTTTTTTAACATGTGATTCTTTAACGTTACAACCCTATATGTAGGTACTGATAGCGTTCCACATGCCTATATTAATGCACGTTCGCGTAATCTCTGCCAAGTCCGGTCGGCATTAGAGATTCGGCGCGCAACCCGCCGCTGGACTTACAAAAATTTATAGCCGAAGCTATATGCGCTATTAAACGTTTATGTATCGTGATTCGAGCGCGAGAGGAATTTAATATCCACAGTTTATTATCAGCGTCTTTTGTTGCTTGGTG